GTTTGTTCATAGCAATTGTTTCCTACTCAACCTGCTGTTTGTTTTTGTTAAGTGCTATAGAGTTGGTTCTGATTCATAGCAACCCTGTATAGGATTTCCAAGGTTGTAAATCTTTGTAGGCATAGAAAGCCTCTGTCTTTCTCTCACAGAACAGCTGGTGGGCTTGAACCACTGACCTTGTAATTTACAGTCCAGTGCTTAGTCTTCAGAGCCACCATAACCTAGTGTCCCTCCATTTCGTGAACTTCAAAAAAAGTTGCATAGAGTTGGCATAGTTTTTCTCCTATAACTTATCACTTCTTAAATTCTCCCTTGTTAGTAAGCCAGGGTTCTAGTTCTGCTCCTTACAGCCAAACTACACCAGGCTATGGTTTTACTGCAAGTTTCGGATTTGCAAAAATCACCCAACACCTGAGAAGTTGCTCATCCCAGTGTGTGGGTCCCCTCACTTCAGTATTTGCAAATGGGATTAGCTCATTTCTGGCTTTAATGATGTGGTTACAAAAATCCAAAACCCCATTGTGAAGAGTCCTGAAATATCTCCTCCTAGGTATTTAGGAGCTCTGGTAGTGTAGTGGTTACGAATTGGGCTGCAAACCTTAAGGTCAGCAGTTCGAAACTACCAGCTCTTCTGCGGGAGAAAGATGAGGCTTTCTGCTCCCATAAAGATTTACAGCCTTGGAAACCCTGTACAGGGTCGCTAGGAGTAGTTGGTTCCGACTCCATGGCACCTAACAACCAACAACAAATGAGATGGAACCAACTCCATGGCATTTAAGAATGGTTATGGATGCAGACCTCCAAGCCTCTGCTCCCTCAGAGATTCTGTGGGTTTGAACTGCCAACCTTTCATAGTGAGCGCTTAGTTGGTTGTACCAGCTCTCTCAGTTCGGACATATGGAATTCTCACTACAGCCTCCTCATCTGAAACTTAGACAATGATCTAACCTCTCTGTGCGTCCGTGTTCTCATCTGTAAAATGGGAATCATAATGGTGCAAACACCACTTAGGACTGTTTTGGGGAAGGATGGAACTAATGTACACAAAAGCGCCCACACTTGCTGTTGGGTGGTTAGTATCCCCATGCCAAGTGTCAGGGCCTGAAGCCAACCAACACCGCTCATGGTTCTGAATGCTGAAAACATGTGCACAGTGAGGTTTGAGATTCCAGAGCCCCACAGTCAAGGCCAAGTCAGAATCCCCGCTTCCTTGCTCCATGAGCCTTGCCTTCATGACTAGCCTCAGTGTTCCCATCTGTACAATGGGGATGCAAATCTTACCTACCTCCTAGGATTGTTAAGAAACTTGACACAGCACCCAGAGCAGTGGCTAGTCGGTAGAGTGATTATTACAGATACTGTATGTGTTATAATAGCAAACATTTCCAAAGGGTGGGACTGGAACTCTGAGGATGAACTCATATATTTGGCCAACCAGCAGTAACTGGGCATCTACCTACTGGGTTCTTGGCATCAACTGACTCCCGGGGGTCCTAATGCAGAAACTGCAGTGGGCTGTGTTCAGAAAGGGAAGGAAGAATGTCAGCCCCCAGGCGCCGCCCCCACCCCTCTGCGTGCCTTCTCTAGGCCCTGGGCAATGAAAGGGAATACCAGGGGAGGGGGGTCAGTTCAGCTTCATGTGAAGCTTTTGAAAGCCCGGATTTTGAAGGGCTTCCTGTTTTCTCAACCTAGGAAACGAGAGGAGTCGATCCTTAATGGAAAGTTTCCACAGGCTCTGTGCTAAAAATAGATGGGTAGGCAGGGAGTTGGCACCGGGGGCCCTCACAAAGGACTGTTTCCCTTCTCAGAACACGGGGCTGCCATTGAGGCCAGGTTAGGGGTTCAGACAGACAGAAGAGGTGTACCAAAGACTCCTGCGCTCCGAGAGCTGCCTCCAAGGAGACAGGAGCCATCACATCTGTAAACCCAGTCTGGCAGTCTGGTCCAGAGGCCTCCTCACCCACCATAGAAACCTTTCTGGGCAGAAACACGTTCCTTCTGAGACCTCAGGGCTTGCTCCCCAGGCTCCGAGCAAGGAGGAGAAAGTTCTGGCAGAGTCCACATGACCCATGTAGCCTCTCCCTTGGTCTTTCCCCTTCTTTCCTTCTCCAGCTTCAAGACAGGGAGGGTCCCCGCTCTGCCTGTCACCTTCTCCTCACTCTGTCCCTCTGCATGCCTCAGGCCTTTCTCACCTGAAGCGCCCCTGCCCCCTCTGACCACACTGGTTTCTGCCACTCAGCATTTGATGGTGCTGAGCTGAGGCGTCCCTTGCTGCCAGTACACCCTCCCCCCCACCCCCGCTTCTAGTCTCTGCCCCAGTTGGGTACTGCCTCTAACCTTCATTTACTGGTTCCCAGTGTTTCACTAGATCATGATCTGTTCTTGATACATAGAAGAGGGGCAACTCGGGACACCAGGACAGAGGACTGAGTGTTGAGCATTAATTCAATGTCACTTTCTTGTTCCTTTCTGCTTACCCCTCCTGTCTCCTCCACTATAGCAGACAGCTTAGCTGAAAGTCCGTCCCAAGGACCTTACCATAAGCACGTCATCAGCTGAGGTCACTGGTTTGGGGAAAGTTCTGCTTCTCCTCTATCATCCAATTCACACAAATCAGTGGCCAGTCTATTACTTGTCTGAAGTATTTTATCTCCCCAAAAGAATATGTGCGGTTCATGTTTACTGCGGAGGAACTGTGTGGCAGCCATTGTACTAACTACTGATGCTTCATTATCACACCAGCTTCATTATCACACCAGCCCTGGTGATGATGTGGTTATGGTCCTCTTTGATTGAGGAAGTACTGGGATTGGAACCCAGGTTCCATAGGGCTATATACTACACAGCTGGTACAGACACAATCCTGTTAACTGAAGTTCAGTTATTGTTAATGGCCACTGAGTTGACTGCCAACTCAATGACAACCCCGTGCACACAGACTGGACCATTGTAATCCATGGAGGTTTTTCCTTTCTTCCTGGTGTCTCTTGGTCCGGAAGCTCTGACAAAGGCCAATCAGCATCAGAGCGCCATACAAGCGTCTACCAACAGGCAGGTGAGTGGTACCTGTGCTTGAGGTGTGTTGGCTTGGACTTCAACCCAGGTCTCTAAAGGGCAGGCTAGAAGTCTCAGTAGGTAGCTCCTCTCTTGTGGGGATTCCAGCATCCTCAGTGTCTTTTTCAGTAAGGCTGACAACCTCTGCTTAGTGACAAGCAGAGTGACTAAACACAGCTTCTCAGAGCAGCCGGGAGTCAGCTGCACAAGCCCTCTCAGAGAGAGGGGCGGGAATGAAAATAATGTGGAATGTTTCAGAGCAATTTTTAAGGCCCATCCCAGAAAGAACAAGAGGGACAGATGTTAGTATATAAAATGTATGTATAAAATTTTCTCTTCCAAAAAGAAACAAATGATGTAATATTTTAAGCGTATACGATACAGGGCCTCTTAAAGGCATGACAAATTAATAAGAAAAACAACATCAGTATCCCAACAACAACGGCAGCAGACAACTAAGTATACACACACACACCAGAGGTTGGCAAAGTGTCCAGAAAAGACCACAGAGCAAACAGTAGAAGGGACTTCAAAAGGTTCATGGAAAATGGAAAGAAACGATAATGAGCCTTTTTCATGAACTTTTTGAAACCCCCCTTTGTGGGCCATAAGGTCTCTGCCTCAACTACTCAGCAACTGTAAATGATGGGGAAACAGCCCCAGTCCACAATGTAAACAAATGGACTTGACTGTGTTCTAATAAAACTTTATTGAGTCAATTCCAACTCATTGTGACCTTTTAAGACAGTAGAACTGCCCCATGGGATTTCCAAGGCTGTCATTTCTATGGCTGGAGACTGCCCCACGTTTCTCCCGTAGTGTGTTTGGTGGACTCAAGCCAAGTGTTTTAATCATACTGCCATCAGAACTGGCTATGGCCCCTAGTATCTATCAATGATCAGAGAAGCACAGCAGACTGCTCACTTTGTTGGGACAATCTGGGGGGAGCCAGGTTCCTTCACTAGAATTGTTCACCCAACAATTCCAGATTGACGACATTTCTCTAGAGTGGAACTGAGTTCTGTTAGCAGCATCCTTTCATGGTAATCGAAAGGTTGGGAGTTAAGTCCTCTCAGAGACATGTCACAGAAAGGCCTGTGATCTACTTTGAAAAAAACTAGCCCTTGAAAACAAAACTCCATGAAGTAAAATAATATTTATGTGCAGCTGACCCCACTCTGCCCCAGGGCCCCACATACAGACTGCTTTCCTGTTCCCAAGTTCAGGAAATGGGGTGCTGAAGTTTGCACAGAAGACCACAGTTCTACTTTAAGGGCGTTTTGACTACAGGCCCTTCTTCGTTTCTGGGCTTACTTTGGAACTCAATCCCATAAAAAAGCAGAGACAAGAGGGAGTGCACGGGCCGTAGCCTGATGCTAGACCATGTCGGTTCTTACAAAAGTCTGGACTAACCACAGAAATCACAGCCTGAATGACGCCCCTCAAGCTTGGCCGGGGTCTACAGTCTGCTGGGGGAGGAACTGGGGCTGTTTTATCCATGCCAAAGGAACTGAGAAGGACAGCTAGCTGCAGGCCCTCCTCCCACCCCTTGTGACTTGGTCACTGTTTGGTCCTGTCTGCCCTCACCAGAGGAGCCCAACCAGGCCACCTGCAGAGGCTCCGTGCAAATGACAGAAACCCTTGATGGGACTAGCCCAGAGCTGTGGGTGGAGTCTGCAAAGTTATGGGACTGAACCCACTGATTCCATGCCGATTAGAACTGGGCATTGTCGTCAACATCCCGGTGGCTGAGCCCAAGTTCTCAGGCCCCTGCGGGGGTCAGAAGCATTGGCACTGCCAATGATTCAGGGGTTAAGGACATCTAAAAGGGCCTGCCCACTGACACTTTCTCGAAATGGTTTGCTTTACATGCTTGGTCCTGGCTCCTCTGCTGGGAAGTGGCCCTCCCATCAGGTTCACTGGGTAAGAGTAGTACATCTCAGCAGGCTGCACGCTGGGAGCAGCCATGGGTCTAGGGGGTGGGACTTAGCATGACACGTGATATTTTTTATTGGGCTTTCTGAGAGGACCACCAGTGTAATGCTTACCAAGGACTTCTGGATCCGCTGCCCAACTTTCCTTGACCCTAGAGCCGACTATTGGAAGCCATGGTCCAGCAGGCTCAGAGGACAACAGCAATGGTAGAGGTGTCGGGAGTATGGCCCCCCACCCTAACATATTCAACCATAGCAATGCCATCTCAGAATGGTAACTTTCTCAGCGCCCCACTCTTGGAACTCGATACCCAGTCTGTTATAGCTACCCGCCCCTGCTATGAAAGCCCAGTAGCCAAGGAATATCTATCTACAGGTTGGAGCTACTGGGATGAGGGGAGCATGTTGAGCACATAGATAACCTGGGACTTAGAGCTGAGGTGACCAAAACACAGGGTACCTGCCCACATTACATCCTGGGTTTCCTGCCATCTAATACGGAATGCCCACCACAGAGCCAGCCTTATGTCATTGACTACACAGAACAAGTACCAGATCCAGTGCAGGAACGTAGCTTTCAGTGCGGGCGCCCCCCGTGAGAAACATGCACATTCCCGAGCCTCACCCGCCCTGCCCCGCAGACTCTGAGCATCTCAGAGATGTCCCCTTCAGGAGGGGAAGGGTCTAACCCTTCACGGCAGGAAATGGCATCTGTGAGGATGATTAGAAACGTGAAAAAGAGGGCCTTTAGATGACTAAAAATTCAAGTTAAGGAAACACACAGCTGGAAAAAAACAAAGGGAGAGGTAGAAAATATTACCTTCAACTTTGATTTCTCGGATCAAAGAGCACAGTCATTCTGTTTCATAATATGTTTTGTATCCAGCTAAGGTGTGTGTCTATCAGCTCTGAAAAAGATTTGCAAAACCAGTTTTGAGAAGAAGAAGAAGAAAAAAAATCACCTCTGACCTGTATTATGTTTACTGTAACTCATGCCAGTAGCCTTCATCTTAGGGGTAGCTTCCTAACAGAACCCAGGATCGATGGCATCAGCACTCCAGCTTCAGCCCAAATTCTGTACCATCTTCACATCTGTGCCCAAACTAACCCAACATCAGGGCATTAACTGGGGACACCTCCACCCCCAAGATTCATTGTTTCAATGGAAACAAAACAGCCCTGCTGCTAGCCTATCATGGCATTTCAAATCAAACAGTTCCCAATGCAATCAGGAGACAATCCAGAATTCCTGTAGGGATTTACAAAATCATAATCTTCCTTCCCACCCACTTCTCTCTCTACAACACTCGGTCCGTGTCCTTCTCAATAGGATGAGGCCCTTGCTGGCCATGCCAACGTTTAAAGCCTGTACATTCTCTTTTCTTGACAAAACCCTTTCTTTTCCCTTCCTTCACTATTTTCAGCCCTTGGGCAATCAGCACAGTGAAAGCATTTTTTAAAAGAACAAAAATGAGAAAAGTCTATTTGACAAGCCAGTGGATTCTTTTCCATTGTCTCTTGAATAACTAGCATAGTAGTTTGAAACGACCAGCCACTCCACGGGAGAAAGATGAGGCTTTCTGCTCCCATAAAGATTTACAACCTCGGAAACCCTGTACAGGGTCGCTATGAGTCGGAACCGACTCCATGGCACATAACAACAACAATAACCCCCCTTCTATCTAGCTGTGGAGTGAACTCTATCCTCCGGTAGCTAACCAGATTGTATGGTCAGACTTCATCTGATGTGCCTGGCTAGGTGATAACATTCTGGTTTCATTTCTTACAGAGTGAGCCAACTTTTACGGAGCGAGCTAGCATCATTCGGTCAACCAGGATTCTCCTGGAAGAATAGGTATGACGATACCCCACTGCCCAACACCTCCCCAAGTCTTCACTAAAGATTCTTCCCAGCAGTTCTGCAGTCTCAATGTAAGCTTCCAAATGCTCAGGTAAGTTATGGGTAGCCAAAGGTTAGGGCAAGATAACACGTGGACCTCTTGTTCCCTGTTAGTAGCAGTTTGGACCAAGCATCTCCTCTTTGGGCTTCCGTAGTGCTACTCCAAGTACCCCCCCTCCATGTTGAATTGCATTTCAGGACACTGTTTTTGTTTTAAAGTCTACCAGCACCGTTTTTCCAACTGCAGGTACTAACTGTCACATTTTGGTCATTCTCACCATATCTAAAACTTCTTCATAATAGGCCACAGTCTAGTGTAAACATGACTTTTATATGCACTGGGAAACCAAAACATTTGTGAGACTTGCTTTGAACCCGTGACACTTCCGAGATGTGCCTGCACAAATTAATTAGTTCCAAATCCAAGGTGTCTTGGTATGGTGCTGTAGGTTAATGCACTGTACTGCAAGGTTGGTTTGAACCTCAAGATAGGCGGTTCAAGCTCACCAGCCACTCCTTGGGAACCCCCTCTATAGGGTCGCTATGAACCAACTCAACAGTAAACAATGGGTGCAGGCCTTAAAGTATCACCTGTGTCTTCATACCAAGTCCCAATGGCACTGTAGGAGAAACACTAGACTCCTAACGTCGAATGTTCAAACCCACCGGCTGCTCCTATGAGTCAAAACCAATTCCACAGCACTTACCACCACCATGATTTCTTCACAATGGTCAAAGGAGCTTTTTCCACCAGGGGTCTCTCCCCTGAAACTGAGACAGATTTCTAATCTAATGCCCCACTAGATACCGGAGCCTGACCACCAACACTCTCCGTCACCTTGAACATCAGCTCCACTGCTGTCACTTGAGGAAACACATTCCCTTCCGACCAACTTGGCGCCAGTCTTGATTCCACTTTCTCCAAACATAAATGCTCCTGGATCTCCCTTCAAAACACACCCAGAAATCACAGCCTTTCAGCCAGCAGACCTCCTGGTCCCACCCAACATATCCCTGCAATGCTTCGGTTTTACAAAGGCTCCACTGCCATGCACTGCACCCTTTATTCACAAGCCCTTCTCCAGTACCCCAAAGCTCCTGCAGCGTCTTTGTTTTACTCCCTAACACAGCACAATGGCTAAGTGCTTGGCTATTAACCAAAAGGTTGACAGTTCAAGCCCACCTCGCAGCTCTATGGGAGAAAGGCCTGGCTGTCTGTTCCTTTATTGGGCAGTACTGTTATCACCTGGCGTTGCTGTGAGTTGGAATTGATGGTCCCCAATACTACCACCCCTCATAAAGAATAACACAACGCCTCCTCCAGGAACAGCTGCAGCCTGACAGCTGCCGTCTTCCAGAAGAGCCGGAGCATCTGGGTTTTTAATCCTGCTTGCTGACTAGGGAGTTAACCATTAACCTTCCTTTCTTCCCATCAACGGGAGCTGAAGCAGCTCCAATAGTCTGGGAAACCTCCCCTCACCCCCCGAGTTACACCCTCTAGGGGGCTCATCAGGAATGCCATTCGGATGCTATCTGTCTTTGGCTGTTTCTGCACACAACTGAGCAACAACAATTCATAGTGACTTGGTGCCAGGCAAAAGGCCCGTCCTTACTAATTCTCACTGTACCCCCCCAACAAGGCAGCTGCTAGAGGCTAAGGGCATAGGTATCCCTCCCACCACACACACACAAAACCCTTCCCCATGTGACATTCTTCAGCTGGCTTTGAGTCCCAAGTTCCTGCTCTCAGACCAGGTACACAGACTGACATTCAGAGACGTCAGACCACTTGCTTGAGGTCACACAGCTAGTGAGAGGCAGAACGAGGTCTGATGACAGTGTCCGTACCCCATCACCTAATACTTAGGGGGGGTTTAAGGAGGGTTAAGGTCAAAATTCCCATCTGGAGACCATATCAGAGATGAGACCAGTTTGGTCATTGATAGAAAACCCATCTGTCAGACCCCTGGAAACAGATGGTGCCAAGACTATAAACCCATCAGCATCAGGTATCCCGGGCAGGACCAAGGTCGCATCCTGGGAGGACCAATTTATACCTAGATGGAGCCCCAGGGATCAGTCCTCAACACTCACTCTGAGTGTGACCTCTCACTGTCAGAAGCGCACGGGGCTGGTGCACCCAGGCAGGCCTCCCTGGCTCCGCCCCAGCGCTGGCTGGGCTGCAACGTTTGGAGGTTCAGCTTCCTGTTTAGTCGCAATGTCTCACGCCTTAAGTGTCTGGGAAGCAGAAGCAGTAGGAGGTAGAGAAAAGGAAAACCTAGACCATCACCCCAAACTGACAGCTCTCTTTGCCTGAGGCTGTCCATGCTGCTGTACCAGGATAGAAGGGGTGATGCCCATTTCTCAGGTCAAGTCACTGAGGCACAGGCAGGTGACTTAGGAACAAACCCACGAGCCCTGGGGCAGAGCAGCTCTGCCCACTAGAACTTTCTTCAGTCCTGTGTGGCTTCCGCACACCTGACATGGGACTAGAGTGGCTGAGGAACGGGACATAAAGAGCACCGTGTGGTTACTGTAGATTCTGAATCTCTGGATGGCTGCTCTGTCTCCCTAACTCACCTCACTTCTGGAAATCTCCACCCCATTGGTCCTTCAAGCCTAAGCCATTGGCAGTCCCATTTCTCCCTGACTGCCATGATTGGTTCAAGGACAGACAGGCTTCCCCCACTGTGCCAGTGATGGAGCAAACACAAAGTCCAGTTAGTGTTCCCTGGTTAAAGCATGTCTACGATAAAAAGCCAGTGTGTAAGAGCATAGAGGAGTCCTGGTGTGGCGTTATGGGTTAATGCACCAGACTGCAAAGCCATTTGAACTGCAAGGTCAGCGGCTCAAGCTCGCCAGTTGCTTCTTTGGAAATTCTATACAGGGTCACTATGGGTCAGAATAGACTCGATGGCACTTAACAACAAGAGCGTAGAAAGGTGCCCTAGCCGTGCAAAGGTTAAAGCATTTGACGGCGCACCAAAAGGTTGGTGGTTGGAATCTTCCAGCAGCTCCTGAAAAAATAGAGCGCTCTTCTCTGGTAAAGGTTACAGCCCTAGGAATCCCTACATCGAACTTCTAAGGAGAAGCTGAACTCTACTCTCAGGTGTGTCAAGTCTTTTAGGCTTGCCATGAGTTGGGACACACCAGAGATTAGAGACACAGGGAGGAAAATTGAGTATTGATGGCAACACTTGAGACCCTGGATCCTACTGTGCCTGAAGCCCTGTCTTGAGCAAATGTCCCTTTTGTCCCCTGCAGTCAATAGGTCTTAATGGGTTCATGCGACATTCTGAGACAAAGAAGGGGCAGAAAGTAGGAGAAGGCTTCTGTATTCCAACAAACTTTCTGAAGGCCCTTTGCACTGCACCACATGAGAATAAACAAAACCCCAATGTGGTGGATTTTACTTTCTCCTGAACTGAAAGTATCATGACCACCATCTGAGCTCAACTCTATTCATTCTTCTGCTCGTTTATCAGTCCACCTACACCAGGGACCTGGTGGAGAACACTCAAACATGGTCCTCAGGGAGGCCACCACAGTGGGACAAGCTGCCCCAATAACTACTGATCTCAATCCTGGTAAATGCTGGGAATGAAACCTTCAGGGGGTGAGAGAAGACCCAGATCGTTAACTTAGGGGAGGCAGGGACCAGCTTAGCACCTGTCCATCCACAGTAGGAGAGCTCCTCCCACCTCTTCCAAGTTTGAAAAATCAAAATACATACCTTTTATAAAAAACACCTCCTGTCTGCCAAAATGAAGCAGTACCTCATCCTGGAAGTGCCACAAATGTTGTGTGTTGTTGGGTGTCATGGAAGCAATTCTGAGGAACCCCATGTGACACAGGACGCTGACCCTTTGAATTTCCCAAGCTGTAATCTCTATGGGAGCAGATCACCAGATCTTTTCTCCCGCAAAGCTTCTAGGTGAGTTAGTAGTCACGTGCTCACTGTGCCACTAGGGTCCCTGCAATTGTCCCAGGCCTCACTAAAGCAGCATG